GTTACTAGTTTTATGCAGTCAATGCTTGTTTATTGGGTTGTTGGAAAAGTCATGACATATTTTTTCTATGTTTTTCATTGCAAAAATGCGTCATGACTTTTCCGACAACCCAATAGTTACCCAAATGTTTAGTACTGTCTTTGTTCCCCATACTTTGTATCTCTTCTTTCCTTTGGTTCTTTTCTCTTCTGAAAGAACTTCTTTTAAAGTTGTCAGTATTTTTTCTTATGAACTTTCTATTTATTTAAAAATGGTTTTATTTTGACCTCTCTTAAATGAGTTTACCCCTGCAGAAAATTCCAAACTGCCATTTTCCCTCCAACTTTGATATTATTACATTATCTTCTGACCTTGTGTTGTTTTTCATAAGTGGACTGTGTGACAGTTTAATTAGACTCTAGTCACTTTTTCTAGTGTTCTAGATCTTTTTCTATGATGTTCAGTTTTGCTTTTCACCATGAAGTGTCTCTTGAGAGATCTAGTTTATCATATTAGTAACTTTGTTTTGTTAAGAATCTGAGGTTTCTTACCTCTACTGAAGTCTGGAAAAATTTCAGCCATTTTATCTTCAAATATTGCATCTCTCCTGTTCTGTTCTCTCCTCTGCAACTTCCATTAAACTTTATATTGTCCTCTTATTTTCCCTTTTGCTTGCTGGGACTTTTTCTGAGTCTATTCCTCAAAGCTTTATTCCAAACACAATTTCAGACATAATTTTGTTTTGTCTAATATGCAGTTTAACTCATCCAACTGAATATTTTTCATAGCTCATATATTAACACAATTCAAAATCTGAAGAGTAAGGAGTAGGGGTTTCAGCTTTGGAAGCTGATAGTTCTGGATAATGGTGATGGTTGCACAACAATGGGGATGTAATTAAAATGCTTAAAATGGTAAATTGTTATATATTACTATAATAAAAATATCAGAATTAAAAAAGTATACCGTAGGCAGGCTTGCTTCCCCTCCTTTGCTTAATTCATTTTCCCATTTATGCTCTGTACTTTTATTAAATTCTCCAGTTGCTTCCTTGTGTTTTTGGGGTTTTTTTTAATGCAAAATCTAACCAAGTCGAATATATGGTCTTATTTCCTCCACCCTTTTCAGTTTTTATTTTTCATCAATAATGTAGTTTGAATCCTTTCCAAATTAATACAGTGTATCCTCATTCCTTTTCTGTAGCTGTATTACATTCCAATGTAGAGATAAATGTATGATAGTTTATCTAGCTCAGGGGTCGGCAAACTGTGGCTCGTGAGCCACATGCAGCTCTGTGGGTACCTTCTGTCTCAAAAGTTTGCCAACCCCTGGAAGAGTCAATCCTCACAACAATTTAAAAATTATTCGAGAGCAATAAATATATTATTACATAATCACCATTATGTGAATAATGTCCTTTAAAACTGTTACAAATGAGGGCCTGCCGAGTGGCGCGTTGGTTAAGAGTTGGCTTGGGACGCCAGCTCTGAGCAGCAGGGCCCTGGTTCGGATCCCACATATGCAGGCCAGTGACGCTGCGCCCTCTACAGCTAAGATGCTGAACAACAGCTCAACCTGGAGCTGGGCCGCCGAGAGTCGCCGGCGACAGCGTAAGCTGCAGCCCCTACTGCAGTGGGCTGCCATAAGCTACCATGAGTGGCTGGCAGCCCCAAGAGCTACCAAGATCCGCCATGAACGGCCGCCCAGTGGACGGCGACTGATCTGCCTCAGCCGGGAAGAGCGCAATGATAATACCAACTTGGGCAAGTGAAGCGACGTCCTCCACAACTAGACTGAAGAACAAAAGGACAGCAACTTGTCTGTCCCCCTTCCCTGATTCCCCAAAGCTGTTCCCCTCCCCCAACTCCCCAATAAAATCTTTAAAAAAATTTTATAAATGAAACTATGATAGTTTTATTTTTCATTTTCAATTTTACTTCAGAGCCACATGTATGTACCCAAGGAGCCACCGTTTGCTGACCCCTGGTGGCTCTTGCGTCTCAAAAGTTTTCCGACCCCTGACCTAGCTGGTCCACTTTTATTCCACATTGGGTTGTTTCAAATACTTTACCAACATAAACAATTCTTCTCCATTAAGATTTTTCACTTGAGTGGCTACTTTTCATTCTAAAAAATTTTCTTTCAAACCTCCATTTTCTGGCACTGTTTTCACTTTATTCTTTTGTCTTTGATTAGTTTGACATTATCATACTATCTATTCTATTTCTTCAAGTTCCTAAGAGTCTAATGCTCCTTTTATCTTTTGCGTCACCCGGTGTTCATTTGTGGCAGGTTTGTACATATGATTTGTACTTTGGGGGTAGGGAGATCACTTTTGGGAGGGCTAAATTTATGCAGCCTAGGTTAAGGATGTCACTCTCCATAGAGAATTTACCTCTTCCAGGTTTTCAAAGGACAAAGCCAAGTCTAAGGAAATTCTAACTTATAAGCTCATGTGTTTCCAGGCCATATAAATAGTACTAATTCAAATATATATGAGGTCAAGTTCCGGGTTAAACAATTTCAAGGGAAGAGCTCCCTCGTCTCCCAACCCAGAGCCCAGGCCAAAATAGATAAGCTTCCCCTTCCCTTCCTGGAGTCAGATTTTGTTTTCTAGAAACAAAAAGTTTTAAGAGTGCAGCCCTTATAAGGTTCCTGGCTTTATAATGGTGACTTATTTTCTAAGTCCCAAAGTTAGGTGCACCATGTGGGTTTTAGTTTCCCTTTTAGTTCTCTCTGGGCACTTGAGACTGCAATTTCTTTATGGTAAACTGATTTTTATCATAGTTTATTCAGCATTTCTAGGTGTTTTGAATTATATGAAATAAAAGTTGTGTGTGTGTCTTTAGCAGCATTTAAACTACCTCATGGGGGGCATAGAACAAGGTAGTAGACCACAGAGTTAGGCACATCATTTTGAATCCTGGCTCTTACACATAATACCTCTGTAATCATAGACACACAGTACCTCTCTCTAGGTATCAGTTTTCTCTTCTATAGAATAAAGATAAAAGTTGATGTGAAGAGTATATAAATAAAAGATATAAAATGCTTAGTACAGTGCCTGGCGTATGTTATATACTTAACAAATTACATTTTTACTTTTTAGTAATTTTTATTTTAAAGTAAATGGTACATTGTTAGGATGGTGTAAATATGTCATGTATCTTTTAAAAAGTAGCAATAAGGCTGACTGCAATGCAGGCAAATTTCCCAATTATTTATATATACATAAGATGCTGTCGTATCTATCAATAGGTATTAATATCATGCTCTGACCACATCTAATTGTGGACACAATAGTTTTAAAAGGATAATAAAATAAAAGCTTATCACATGAAACAGGGTGTTGCTGCGAAGAATAAATCTAAAAAAGAGTTGAAGTTGGAGATATTTTGGTACAGAAGTCTCTTAGCATTAGGGCTATGCAAAAATACAAGTAGAACAAGCAGCCTTATAAAAAGGTGAGCTGGTCACTTTAAGTATTCAAAAGCAGAAGCTGAAAGACTGCTTAAGAGACAGAACAGAAAGGATTCCTTTACCGGGAAAATAGAAGTCAATAGTGAATAAAAGAAACTATTTGGATAACTGACTTATGACACTAATTTAAAAATCCCATGACTACTACATAAAAGGAAACACCAAACAAAACTTAACTAGATTAGAAACACTGAAAACCAAATTTATGCTTTTTTTTCTTATTTTTTAGCTTATTAAAATTAAGTAACAAGGGAAACTTTTCTCATGCCTGGTTTCATCCTGGCCAACCTAAATCATCAAATTTCTCTCTCCAAATGTATATTCTTGTGACTACATTGTCATTTTCCTCCTTTTCATTATAATAGACAGCCATTCCAGGGCAAACCCAAATGTTACAAATAATATTCACAAAAGAAGTCAAATAAGTCAGAATTAAATTTTATTTTACATTGATAGAAACCGTGAAAAAGATTTACATTTTCCCACATTACAGCACAATATTTCAATGGAATGTCTCTTGCCATAAATTAGATCTTGCTGCTTTTTATAACTGAAGCAACAGCTTATATTCATCAAGGTAAAGCAAAATGACTTATTAAATGATTGTTTAAAAATTTTAAATCCAGACATAAACATATGGCTTCATTATTAACATTCTATATAGTCCATTACTAAATTATTTCCATTATCAATTAGCACCCATTTATAAAGATGCACTTCTAATGTTTTAGTCAGTTGGAATACGGCAGAAAAATTAACAACAGTTCAGATATATGAAGCATATATGTATTTTTGCTATATATTAAACTGGGTGGTAACTATACCATATGTTGAGTTCTGGCTACACTTTATAGCCCATAAATTTGTTTTCAAAGAGTTTTACCAATAATCTAAAAAATTTGACTACTTAAAATCAAATAATTGCTACTTTTATGTTTGCACAAAAACTAATTTTAAAAAATCATCTAAAGTAAATATTTCAAATAAGTCCATTGGCAGATAAAAATAAAGCAAATTTTCCTAATGGATTGTTCATTCCTACAGTAGTTGATTTCAAACATGTACAAAATAAGTAAACTAAGACTGTGCTACAAGGAGAATAATCTTAGAGCAAATCATCTTAGAAATTAGTTTTTTAAGATCAGTCTTAAATATTCCAGAACATACTAGAATATGACCTAATTATTCTTTCAGTTAATTACAGAAAAAATACAACCACAGAATTATTCCCTACCTGGACTGAAGATTCTAACAACTACATAGTGTAGCTTTGGACTAAGGTATAGTTTAAGAAATAAGTAGGAAGTTTGAAGTGATGCTTGGTTTAAGTATAAATACATTTTAAATACTATCATGTCTGTGATTCAGAACGTCAAATTACAGCATGTATTGACAGCAGATGTCTATGGCAAGGAGGCAATATTTGGTCTGTTATAAAGGACTAGAAAGAAGAAAGAACAATTTTCTAGAGAGGAAAAAAGAATATTGAGAAATTATAACAGAAAAAAAAGCCTGATTCCCCCAAATAAAAGGGCCATTAATTGAAGAGAGCAATAATACTCTTTATTGACACTTAGAAGCATTATCCCTATTGTTAGGAATAATTCTTATATATTATAATCATTAAGCATATATGAATACATATATAAAAATACAGACACTGCATGGTGACTAAGTAATTTTGGAATAAGTCCACAGACTAAGTCACAGCATTCATAAATTATTTATATCTTAACTGCTCGTTTATACCTGAACAAGATTTCATTAACCATACTAGTAATTTTCAAATGATGTAATAAAAAGTCTCGTTGCAGTATTTTATTATTTTGCTGAATCACATTTGGGAAAAAGAAGCTAGCTGCTTCACCTATTTTAATACTAGTATATTCTGGATCATATTATACAAATACATATATAGAAACTTAAAAGATCATAAATTTCCCATGAGGAGACATTACTCAGTCTCTGTCATTGGTGTATATTTGCAAAACATTGCGAACATTACAAGTTTCAAGGTAGGGCACAAGAAAAAGTTATACTCTACTACAATGAGGCTGGTATGTACTTCTACACAAGGCCCCTTACTGATGTCAATCAACTGGAGGTAGGAGTTTATCAATGAATTGCTTGATATCCATCATTTCCTGTTTGAAATAAAGTGATTTAACAGTTACACAAATCAGAAATTAAATCCCAACTAAAATACCACTAACTAAATCAGTGGTGTGCATAGGTAAGGTGAAACCAGTTTTACTACTTACAATATAAGTTGTAACAGAGATATGAGGCTCCAGTAAAAATTTCAGAACATTTCCTGATTATTATTATTGTACATTCCACAATAGCTCCCATCTGTTATCTAGTCCCATGAAAATGGTCTGCATTTTGCTATTTGAACAAATAAAACATGGGGGTAAGGGGAATAAAGGGGATTTAGAAGTGACAATATCTATACCGAAGAAGTCTCAGGAAGTATATGATTACTGTCAACTATGTATCCATGGAAAAGCCTAGCATTTAATGTTCTCTAATGAGAATGAAATGCTAAATCCATAGCATAAAATATTTTGTGCACTTCATAAGGATTTACATATAACCAACCATTTGAAAGAGAGCATGTACCTAAGACAGGCCTGGAAAGATATGAATATACCAAATATTTATTATAGAAAAAAGTTTTGTAGAAGACTCCTGCATCTTGCTCAGTTTTCCCACTTCTCCCAAACGTATTTATTTCTTCCTATCATCTGTAGTATTTCAAGACTTAGCCTTACAGACCCACAAATTAGCAATGCAGAAACTTCAACCTTATAGTCACTCAGAAAAGAAAGCCACAGAACAAGTGATCTATTTCACAGCACTCTAAGTCCTGTAAGTTTCCTGTGACACCACATCCTACTGTTCTATCTCTTGTCACTTTCTGCTTCTAATCCTTCAGTCCAGTGTCTTTCAATGTGATCATACAAAAGAATCATCTATGGAGCTTTTATTTTAAAAACTCCATACAAAGATGCCTCACTTCAACCTCAGAATTGCTGAGTTTGGGCATCTGTCTGTACGTTTACTAAGCTCCTGGGTCCTTGTAAAGCAACGCCAACTTGGAAATCCACTGCTCTAGACCTTCAGTCCCTTCTGGATGCGCAGAATGCCAGCCCACCTCCCTTTCTGGCATTCAATACCTCATGACAGTTTCAACTATATTCTCAATAACAACCTAGAATCTCAGGCCCCCTTGTCTTTCTGCATAAATCATATTACTACCTGCTTTCTCTGCCCTTAAAGCAAAAGATTTAGCCAGGTTGAGCAGCTGCAAAACAATGTTAACTTGGACTGCCTCAATGTTTAGCCATCAATTTTTATTCTAGGCCTTTTCAAGCCTCAAATCTATCCAGACCTCCTTCATTCTTATTACTTTACTTTTCAAATTGAGAGGATCTAACGTGAGCTCTCAATGGCTCTCTTCTGTACCTCAACAATCCTTGTTTACATTCATCCATCCTCTTTTATCTTCATTAAAAAGTGCTTTTCTCCTCTTTTAAGGCAACCACTACCCATTGCAGAACTTAATTATGTTATATGATCCCTCTAAGGCAGTGGTTCTCAACCTGTGGGTCGCAATCCCTTTGGGGGTCGAACGACCCTTTCACAGGGGTCGCCGGGTACTCGTATGTGGGCGTATCTGCATATGTGTCTTCCGATGGTCTTAGGCGACCCCTGTGAAAGGTTGAGAACCGCTGCTCTGAGGCTTTCCCCTATCAATTATCTTCTCTTTTTCGCATCATCTCCCTCCCTCCTTCTCACTCATAGGGCTCTTTCTCCCATCCTATTAAGAAGAACCTTCCTACTCTTCTCCCCCTTTACCAAAACCTGTCTTTAAAGTCTTTTCAATTCTTTCATCTTGACTGCCAACATGCCATCCAGACTGAGGAAGACCCAGAAGTTTTGGTGCCATGTGAACCACGACCATGGCCACATTGGCAAGAACCCAGGAGGCTGAGGTTATGCTGGTGGCATGCATCACCACAGGATCAACTTTCACAAATACCCAGGTTACTTTGGGAAAGTTGGTATGAGGCATTACCACTTAAAGAGGAACCAGAGCTACTGCCCAACTGTCAACCTTGAGAAACTGTGGATTTTGGTCTGTGAGCAGACATGGGTAAATGCTGCCAGAAACAAGTCTGGAGCTACTCCTACCATTGACGTGGTGTGACTGGGCTACTTACTACAAAGTTCTGAGGAAGGGAAAGCTCCCAAAGCAGCCTGTCATCTTAAGGCCAAATTCTTCAGCAGAAGAGCTGAGAAGATTAAGGGTGTCGGAGGAGCCTGTGTCCTGGTAGCTTGATAAAAGTCTTTTCATTTCCCTGTCTATTACATACAATCCATTGCTGTGTCTTCCCAAATGCCAAGGTCACAGGTGGCTGACTGTTGGAGTTTCTTCCTGGCCTACCGTAATCATTCTCTCAACTATGGGATAGTTCCCTCCCACTAAAATTCTCTCCTCCGTAACTGTCATTCAACACCTAACTCCTTTTAATTCCCCCAAAGTTCTATCCCTTGGCTTTTTTTCTCATGATATTCTCCCATGCTAATTGTTCACTGATCAATAATATTGGTAATTATTCTAAGTCTCTATTACAGGCTTGAGCTTCAGACAAGTATTTCTAACATCCAATCCTGATATCATGGGGGCACATCAATCTATGTTCACAAAACTCCATATTTATTCCTTCCTGTTACCCTAAAAATGTTACTTATACCTACTTTATGAATGGCATCGTGTTAAGTCATCTGAGTTAGAAATCTAAGGCCTCTTTTGATGTTATACTTCCTTCTTTCCTATTCCATAGAATTAGTCACTAAAGCCTACTGGATTATGCTTCACTTGTTTCCAGAATGTAGATTAGATTACATCTTGCTTTGATAAAAAAATGTGAATTGCTTTCTGCTGCCTACAGAACAAGTCCATCCTCAGCACAACATAAAAGCTCTCTAAAGTCTAATCTCTCCTCTATCTCTGTTCTATGATACCTAGCTTTTCATAAGACCACGGCCCAACTAGACAGCTTTCTTTTCCTGTTCTACTGTCCTTTCTCTGCACACTTGGTATCCAAATCTTACCCAGTGTTCAAAATCTAGTTCTTTCATCATGATCTCAGTGCCTCCTAAGATAAAAATGTATCACCCTCTCCTCAGTTTTCCAAACAACATTTTAAAAATTTCTAATATAACACATATCACATTCTAGTTTCTATAGTTACTTGTATATATATATATCCTTCCCTATTAAAAATTTAATTTTAACAAATCTCTTTTAAATTAAAAAAAACATTTTTTTAAGAGAAATTTTATTAGGGAACAGTGTGTTTTCCAGGACCCATCAACTCCAAGTCAAGTAGTTGTTTCAATCTAGTTGTGGAGGGTGTTTTTTCAGGACCCATCAGCTCCCAGTCAAGTAGTTGTCTTCAATCTAGCTGTGGAGGGCACAGCTCCTTGGCCCATGTGGGAATCGAATCGGCAACCTTGGTGTTATGAGCCTGCACTCTAACCACCTGAGCTAACTGGCCACTCCTTAAAGTTTTCATACAATGCTTGCCATGTAACAGAAAATCAGTGAATGTTTGAATTAAATTGAATAAACTTTGATCTAAGTCCTGCTAACCTATCAGTGTGAATTCATTAATTCCTTTAAAGCCCTGAGAGTGAAGTGTTATCTTAAAAATATCACATGTAAAAAAGTTGCAAATTATGTCTCTATAACCATTGCTTCTTAACATTTACCTGTTGACTCGAACTGTGCATCATGCCTTCATAGGTTTTGAAGGTTACATTGGCTGGATTTACCAATGTTTTTAGCTTTTCCACAGTAAGAGAACCAAACATTAGGGGAACTAAAGGGTCACAATCTCCATGGCACTGAAGAATAGCAATATCTCTATTAACGCCACTGATAGGACCCTGCAAAAAGAAAAACCACAACAAAACTAGTATTATTCATTCAAATGTATAGAGCATTAAAAATGTAGATAGATATGCACATACAACATGTTATTAATTACATTATAGGTTATATTTGGCAACAGAAATAAAATTATTTCCATCCCTATGCTCTCCACATCTCTTTATTTAAACTTTTATAGAACATATGATTACCCTGTCATATATGCTTTCCCAGTGAATTGGTTCCTTGAAGCACATTGTATCTTAATTATTTCTTATATGTTCACATTGTCCTGAAATGAGAGGTATGTTTTAGCTGGACCATGTTTTTTCAGCTGTTATTTGATTTAAATAAGATGGTTAATAAACAGCACTTACTATGTGCAAGACACCAAAGAGTTACTATTATATATAGTAACAAGAAAAAACACTACATTTAAAGAATAATTTGAAAATAACATCTACAACTCCCATGTATATACTATATATTGCTTTACACAGTTGAGTGCTTAGAAATTATATTTTATATGGGATTCTTCTATTACACAATAAGCATACTGAAAGTCAAAATTATTTCTATTTGTAAAAAACACCTATAATTTTATAAATATCTTAAAAAGTATCAAATACTTCCAATATAAGATTTATGACAATAGGACTTATTTCTTTTTTAAATTAAATTTATTGGGGTGACAGTGCATTGTAAAATTACATAGATTTCAAGTGTACAATTCTATAATACATCATCAATATATCACCTTCTGTGCCCACCACCCAGAGAGTCAGTTCTCCATCCATTACCATATATTTGACCCTCTTTACCCTCTTCTATCATTCCCTCTCCTCCCCACACTCTGGTAATCACTAAACTGTTGTCTGTGTCTATGAGTTTTTGTTTCTTTGTCTTCCTCATTTGTTGCTTTCAGTTTTATACCTCACATATGAGTGAACTCATATGATTCTCAACTTCTTCTGTCTGACTCTTTTTGCTTAGCATAATAACCTCAAGTCAAGATCCATTCATGTTGTCACAAATGGCACTATTTCATCTTTTCTTATGGCAGAGTAGTATTCCATTATGTATATATGCCACATCTTTTTTTTTTTTTAAGATTTTTATCGGGGAATTGGGCAGGAGGGAACAGCATTGGGGAAGTGGGGAAGGGGATCAGACAAGAAGCTATCCTTTCGTTCTTCAGTCTAGTTGTGGAGGACTATACCACATCTTATTTATCCAATCATCTATCAAAGGACACTTTGGTTCTTTCCATGTCTTGGCCACTGTAAATAATGCTGCAATGAACACTGGAGTACAAATATCTTTACAGATAAATGTTTTCAGGTTTTTTGGGGGGAGATACCCAGGAAAGGAATTGCTAGGTCATATGGTAATTCTATTCTTTTTTTTTTTTTTTTTTTAGCTGAGCCATCCTGCTACCTGTTGGCAGCTCAGTGGCTGCTCAGCTCAGGCTGGACTCGAACCGCTGTTGCTCAGAGCTCAAACTCTTGAGCGAGCTCTTAACCAACTGAGCCACTCGGCCGGCCCTCTATTCTTCATTTTTTGAGGAATCTCCACACTGCTTTCCATGGCAGCTGCACCAATCTGCATTCCCACCAACAGTGTACTAGCGTTACTTTTTCTCCACAGCCTCTCCAACACTTGTTATTTATATAATAATAATTTGTCATGTTAATAATAGCCATTCTAACAGGTATGAGGTGATATCTCGTTGTGGTTTTAATTTGCATTTCCATAATAGCTAGTGAAGTTGAGCATTTTTTCATACATTTGTTGGCTGTTTGTATGTCTTCTTGGGAGAGTTTCTGTTCATGTCCTCTGCCCATTTTTTAATTGGACTGTTTGTCTTTTTGATGTTGAGTTGTATAGGTTCCTTATATATTTTAGATATTAGCCCCTTATCAAAGGTGTTCTTTGCAAATATCTTCTCATATTCGGTTGGTTGTCTCTTTGTTTTGTTGATGGTTTCTTTTGCTGTGAAGAAGCCTTTTAGTTTCATATAGGCCCATTCATTCATTTTAGCTTTTGCTTCCCTTGCCTTTGGGGTCAAATTCATAAAATCCTCTTTGAACCTAAGGTCCATAAGTTTAGCACCTATGTTTTCTTCTATGCAGTTTATTGTTCAGGTCTTATGTTTAGGGCTTTGATTCATTGAGTTAATTTTGGTACATGGTGACAATAAGCAGTCTAGTTTCATTCTTCGGCACGTGCCTTCCCAGTTCTCCCAGCACCGTTTATTGAAGAGGCTTTCTTTTCTCCATTTTACGCTTTTGGTTACTTTGTCAAAAACTATCTGTCCATATTTATGTGGGTTTATTTCTGCATTTTCAATTCTATTCTGTTAGTCTATGTGTCTGTTTTTCTGCCAATACCATGCTGTTTTGATTATTGTTGCCCTGTAGTACAAGCTGAAGTCAGGGAGTGTGATACGTCCAGCATTATTCTTTTTTCTTAGGATTGCTTTGGCTATTCGGGGTATTTTGTGGTTCCATACAAATCTGATAATTTTTTGTTCTATTTCTTTAAAAAATGCCATTGGGATTTTGATGGGGATTGCCTTAAATCTGTATGTTGCTTTGGGTAATGTGGCCATTTTAACTGTGTTGATGCTTCCAATCCATGAACATGGAATGTCTTTTCATTTCTTTGTGTCTTCTTCAATTCCTTTTAAAAATGTCTTATAATTTTCAGTGTATAGATCCTTCACAGCCTTTGTTAAGTTTATTCCTAGGTATTTTATTCTTTTTGTTGCAATTGCAAAAGAAATTGACTTTTTTATTTCTTCTTCTGAAATTTCATTGTTAGTATATACGAATGCCTTGGATTTTTGTACATTGATTTTGTAGCGGGCAACTTTACTGTATTTGTTTATTGTTTCTAATAGCTTTGTGGTGGAGTCTTTAGGGTTTTCTGTATAAAGAATCATGTCACCAGCAAAAAGTTACAATTGAACTTCTTCATTCTCAATTCGGATGCCTTTTATTTCTTTTTCTTGCCTGATTGCTCTGAGTAGGACTTCTAATACTATGTTGAATAACAGCAGTGCTGGGGGTAACCCTGTCTTGTTCCTGAATGTAGAGCGAAGGGCTTCAGTTTTTCACCATTAATTATAATTATTAGCTGAGGGTTGTCATATGGCCTTTATTATGTTACGGTATTTTCCTTCTACACCCATTTTATTAAGTGTTTTAATCATGGATGGATGTTGTATCTTCTCAAATGCTTTTTTTGCATCTATTGATATAATTATATGATTTTTATCTTTTATTTTGTTTATGTGATGTATCACATTGATCGATTTACATACGTTGAATGATGCTTGTGTCCCTGGAATGAACAGCATTGATCACGATGTATCTTTTTAATGCATCTTTGTATTCGATTTGTTAGAATTTTGTTTAGGATTTTTGCATCTGTATTCATCAGAGATATTGGTCTATAATTTTTGTGTGTTATCCTTACCATTTTTGTATCAGGGTAATGTTGGCCTCATAAAATGTGTTAGAAAGTGTTGCCTCTTCTTCAATTTTTTGGAAGAGTTTGAGGAGGACAGGACTTAGACCCTCTTTGAATATTTGGTAGAATTCACTGGTCCTGGACTTTTTCTTTTCGGAAGGTTCTGGATGACTGATTCAACTTCCTTACCATTGATCGTTTTCTTTAGATTTTCCAGTTCTTCGTGATTCATTCTAGGAAGGCTATATGTTTCTAAGAACTTGTCCATTTCCTCCAGGTTATTTAATTTGGTAACATATAGTCCTTCATAGTGTTAGGTAGAAGGTAGAAAAAGGAGGAGGAGGTGGGGTGGGAGGGGGTCCACAGTGACTACAGAAAAAGCTCATTAATAGTTTTGATTAACTGCCTCCCATCATGTATCTGTGTTTACAACAACAGATAACAACTGGTGGTCTGAAGCAAGATAAAGATCTGAATCAACAGACCTCCACCATCTCAGGAGGTCACGCCCTCCCATGGAAGAACACTACACCACCTTTTCCCACCAAATCAACACGTAACTCCCTCACCCCACCCAGCAAACTCTTAAGTTCTTGGGATAAGGGGCAGATCTCTCTCTCTCTCTCTTGCTCTCTTGCCCCCGGTATCCCCATCTCTTTCTCTCCACCCCCAACCTTGCCTATGCCTCTCTTTCCCACTCTGTAGGTGTCTCTCTCTCCCACCTCGGCTAGACCCTTTCTCTTCCTTGACGACGTATCACTAATAAACCCTGCTTGCATACTAATCAGCTTGCTGACCTTTGATTTTTCACTGTGTTGGCAAGAACAATCAAGATTGCAGTAACAATATTATTCTTGTGTGATCCTTTGTATTTCTGTAGTAACTGTGGTAACTTCTGTTTCATTTCTGATTTTGTGTGTTTTCTCTTTGTATCTTAGTGGGTCTAGCTAAGGGTTTGTCAATGTTATTAATCTTTTTCAATAAAGAACTCTTTATTACATTAATTTTTTCTATTATCTTTTTGTTCTCTATTTCATTTAGTTCTGCTCTGATTTTTATTATTTCCTTTCTGCTGACTTTGGGTTTCATTTGTTCTTCTTTTTCTAGTTCTTTTAAGGTGTAATGTTAGGCTGTTTATCTGGGATTTTTCTTGTTTCATGAGATAGGCCTGTAATGATATAAATTTTCCTCTTATTACTGCTTTTGCTGCATCCCAATAATTTTGATAGGATGTATTTTCATCCTCATTTGTTTCTATGTATCTTTTGATCTCTACTCTTATTTCTTCCCTGACCCAGTCATTCTTTAAAAGCATGTTGTTTAATCTCCATATATTTGTGGCTTATCCTACTTTCTTTTTGCAGTTGATATCCAATTTCAAAACCTTGTGATCAGAGAATATATTGGTATAATTTCAATCTTCTTAAATTTGCTGAGGCTAGTTTTATGTCCCAACATATGGTCCAAACAATTACAGTAGGGGACCTAAATAACATAAAAATGTTACTTGTACACTAGAAAAGAATGTATAGTCTGGTGTTCTAGGGTGAAGTACTCTATCAATGTCAATTATGTCCATTTGGTCTAATGTGTCATTTAGGGCTGATATTTCCTTGTTTATTTTCTGTTTGGATGATCTATCCCTAGCTATCAATGATGTATTTAGGTCCCCTACTGTTATTGTTTGGAACAATTTCTCCCTTTAGTTCTGTTAGTAGTTGCTTTGTATATTTTGGTGCTCCCTGATTGGCGGCATATGAGTATATATGGATAAGTGTTACTTTTTTTTGTTGTATTGTCCCCTTTATCATTATGAAATGTCTATCTTTGTCTCTTGTTACCCTTTTTATCCTGAAGTATGTTTCATCTGGTATCAGTATGGCTACACCCACTTTTCTCTGGACATTATTTGCTTAGAGTATCAATTTCCACGCTTTCACTTTGAGTCTGCATTTGTCCTTACAGCTGAGATGCATCTCTTGAAGGCAGCATATGGTTGGGTTTTGTTTTTTTATCCAGTTTGCTACTGTGCCTTTTCTTGGTGAGTTCAGTCTACTTACATGTACGGTGATTACTGATCTATGAAGATTTCCTATAACCATTTTGTCTTTTGTTTTCTAGTATCTTGCTGTCTCCACTGTTTCTTTGCCTTTTTGTTGCTGTTATTTTAATGTGGTGAATATTCTATGATTTTTTTCCCTCTGTTTCTTTTTTTTTATGTTATATATCTCAGTTCTGGATTCCTTTTGAGTGGTTACCATTGTTTATGTAAAAAGAAAGTTATGTAAAAGAAAGTTTCGTATATACAGTAGTCCTTTTTCTGGAGCATGATTCTTATCTACTTTACTCTCTCCCCTTTTATGTCTTTGTTATCACGAATTATCTCTACTTATGCTGTGAGTTGATTTCTGAGTTGCGGTAGCAAATTGTCTTTTTCCTTTTTTTTTAATGTTTTTATTTTCTTTACCTTTTATGTTATGTGTAAGTGTATAGTTCCCTATTTTGTTTAGGGGTTGCCATTTCCTCCTTCTGTCTGTCTGGTCATAATGTTGCTCATGGTTTTGTATTCTTTTGGATTTTTGTGTCAGGTTGAATAGCTTCCTTCAGTGTTTCCTGCAATGCAGGTTGTGTGTTAGAAAATTCCCTCAGCTTCTGTATGTGTGGAAAGGTCTTTATTTCTCCTTCATATCTAACAGATATCTTTGCTGGATATATTATTCTTGGCTCATAATTTCTCTCTTTCAACAGTTTGAATATTTTATTCCACTCCTTCCTGGCTTGTAGAGTTTCTGCTGAAAAGTCTCATGATAGTCAAATGGGCTTTCTTTTATACAGGTTGCTGCTTTCCCCCCCCCTGGCTGCCTTAAGGATTCGTTCTTTGTCATTAATTTTTGACAGCTTCAATACAATGCCCCTTGAAGAAGACCTGTTGGGATTGAGGTAATTAGGTGTACTGTTTGTTTCTTGGATTCGAGGATTCAGTTCTTTCAACAGGTTTGGGAAGTTCTTGTAGACTATTTGTTTGAATATACTCTCTGTTCCCTTCTCTTTCTGGTATACCCATTATTCTTATGTTGCTCTTTCTAATGCAGTCAGAAAGTTTTTATACAGTTGTTTCATTTCTTTTAACTCTCAAGTCTCTCTTGTCTTCCATCTGTGTCATTTCCAGATTTCTATCTTCAATATCACAAATTCTTTCCTCCACCTGATGAGCTCTATTACCTAAGCTGGCTATTTTATTCTTCGTTTCTTTTACTGAGTTCTTCATCTCCAGAATTTCTATTTGGTTCTTTTTTAAAGTCTCAATCTCTTTGGTAAAATATTCATTTTGTTTAATTGTTTCTGCGTTCATTAAACTTCCTGTATTTTCTTGCATCGCGTTGAGTATTTTCAGAACTGCAATCTTGATTTCTCTGTCATTTAAGTCACATATTTCCATGTTTTAAAATTCATTTTCTGGAGAGTTTTCATTTCCTTTGTGAGATGCCTTGTATACCTTGGTTATTCATGGCAATTAATGAATTATTATTTCTCTTCCTAGGCATCTACAGGAATGGGTTCTGCAGCAAGTTGATATGAAGAGGTCTTTCTTTTTCTTTCCAGTAGGTCTTGCTGGAATGTTTTATTTTCTCTCCTAATAAATATTTTCACCGCCTTTTAATTTATCTCATGCTGTAGCATTTTATTTTCTCTTGCATTGATCTGGCTTCTCACACAATGGAAGATGGGCTTCTCCTCTGTGAGCAGGTTACCTGGGTGTCACGGCAATGCCTCTGTGGGAGGATATGGAGGGCGATAGAGATCTGAGCTTCTGAAATCCCAATGCGGCATGCCCCTGCAGACCAATGCAGAGACTGTGTGTCTCAGTGGTTTTGGTTGCCCAGCAGGGATCCACCCAGTAAGGGAGGGGTGAAGTGGGCTGTGAGAGGCAGCTGGTGCGTTTGTGCCTGAGCAATGGTGACTACTGGTCCACAGCTGTCTCGCCTCTACAGCTCTTTCCCTATAGCCAGAATGTGCATTTGTGGTGGCGAGACCACAGCTCCAGTTCTCAGGGTTGTAGTTATTCTGTTCTTTAATGTGCCACTGCTACCGTTTCTTCAAGAGTCTGCTTCTAACACTGGAAGGTTGGGGGTGGGGTGATCTCTGGGGAGGTGGGGGGAAATTGGCAGGCTTTGTGTCTTTGTTTTCTGTTTTCTGCCTGGCAATGAGGGTTTAAATCATCCTTCTGTATTCAGTCTTTATTCTGAGGTCTCTGCCCCAAATGCTGGGTTCAGCCATATTATATGCTGATAACTCAGGCAGGACTCTGGACCACAGGGAGTGCACCTGCAGCCTGGATTCTTCCCTCTCCTGAGACTGCAGTGAGCTCTGGACTGTGGCTGTGGCCTGCAGCCCACACTTCTCCCTTCCCTCCTCCCCTGCTCACCCAATTTGCCCACCTTCAGATGATTCAATGCACGGATATCTCAGCCATGCTTGTGTACATAAATTATCTTAAAATGTATCAAGTACTTCAAATATAAGGTTTGATAATAGGACTTATTTATGCAATCCACAATGAAGACAATGTAGTGTACCCATAAGGCCTAGTAATATGTCTCAAAAGTCTAAGAAAATTGTTTTAGAAAAAGGATGACTGATGTAAAATATGGGCCTTGGGTGACAAAGATGTGTCAGTGTAGGTTCATCGATTGTAAGAATGTGCCACTGGGCTGCAGGATGTCAACAGTGGAAGGAGGGCTGTACATGTATGGAGACAGTGGGCATATGGGAACTTTCTGTACTTTTTGCTCAATTTTGCTGGAAACCTAAAGCTGTTCTAAAAATAAAGTTTCTTTTTAAAAAATTACTCTTTCCCCAACATTGTCTGCTACCTCCTATCTCAGTAATTTAATGTTGTTTAATTAATCAGGCTACCTGTGGAAACGAAGTCCGCAGTGGAAGCCAGCAACTGAGAGCCGTGACACCTGCCAGTTTCTGCTGTGTGGTAAGAGCAGTATATAAAGATAAAGCTCCTCCCTGGAAAGACAAGCAGGGAAAGTCAATGGAACACATCCTCTGCTAACAGCAACTTAAGAGATTTCTTGTTATTAACAATGTCCATAAAAAGAGGAAACTGGATGGCTGATGTCAAATCAAATCAGGCAAACAATATCCACCCCATAGTGTCCTAAACCACATGGTTCTCTACACTGACCACTGTGAAAACATTGTGACTACCCAGTCAGTCAAGACATAGTTAACAGTAGAGTTAACTGCTGCACTCACGACTGCCTTAGGAACATTCTGAATTTATAGTTATAATTTTCTCTGAAAAGTGTTAGGTATACAATCAAATCTCCCCTTAAATTGGTATTATTTTCCAAAACAGGAATTCAAGATAATGACTATGTAGCAGACACCTTTAAAGTATCTGCCTACCCAGCTCACAACACCCTGAATTCTGGGAACTGCATTCCCATCAGTCATCTAGATGCCACATCACTCTGACCTTGCCCATGGATCACTGGGCCACATGAAGACATGAGATCCCATCTCATTCAAGATAGTCATGTTCTTTCTTCCCAGGATTTTGATATTGGGATTCAGTGACTGTCTGTCTCTTTGCGCAGCTGGAACATGTAAACTCAAGAACTAGAAATGCTTGTATATATAAGCTATACAAGCTGAGATAGCCAACGGCAGCAAGCAAAACAGATGAGCAGAGAAGCAGAGATGAAAATGGAGAGAAGGTCCTGATGGCTTTCCAAGTCCTAGCTATTTCTGGAGGCCTTGCTTTAACCTTGTCCTTGGTTTCCTTAATATGATCCCAGAGACTCATAACTTTTTCTTGCTTAAGGTATTAGGAGTTGGTTTCTGTAAACTGTGATCAACAAATATCAAATACACAGACTCCTATGTTCACTTCCTATTTGAATACAGCGTTCATTTTTCTACCTATACTTACATCACAATGTGTAATACTATTATCTGTGAATTTCAAATACGAAATCAATAACATATCTTTTTACTGTGTTGTATAAACCTACCTTTCTACTGAATTATAACTTTTAAATAATTCCCTAATTCTGACATTGCCCTAAGGCAGGTTGTCTGACACTAAATTAATGATTTAGAAGATTTACAGATTTGAAGCTATAGCAGTTTGGGGATGGGTGACATGACAAACAGGTGATAAGCTGAAATAAAGACATAATATCAACATGAGGTAACTGTGCATATATAAAAAGCATAGAAGGTAGAAGAAAAGTACAGAAAGAGAAAATACCAAAATAAACACCACATATCTGTATCTAAAACCTACTTTACATGATAAAAAGAGGGAATAGGATAGAGCGACATCAGCATAGGTCATTCCTGACTTCGCTTCCCATCACAAGAACAACTAACAACTATTCAAGAATCAGACAACCTCTGAGAGAATCCTAGAATACAAGAGTGAGGCTGAGGCACCACAGAGCCACGCAGGCTGCACTAGAAGGGTAAGAGAAGCAACACACGTTGACTGCATTGCCCCTCCCCCAGGCTAGCACAGCACCACACAGACAGGTCTCCCCTGAGCCTCCAGTGGGACCAGTGCCCCCCAGCATGTGGTTTGCTTTGTGGGAGGCCCTACTCTGATCTCGCCCCACATGGATTGCAGGGGAATCTGAAGGTCTCAACCAGTGGGAATCTGTTACAAAAAGTGGGAAGAAATTCTCTTGTCTTCTACCTTACTGTTCCTATTAGTAGTCTCCTCATAGATAGGGGCTTATACCTGTATTTAAATTAGAGTTTTGTTTAAAGGGATACATAGTGTTAACATTCCAGGTTCCAATCAATGTACTTAATAAACTCATTTTCAAGATGTAATCTATAAGGTAAAGCCTGTTGCTAAAGAGAGAAAACTAGAAAAGCAAAAGAGTATAAAGTATTCTCTTAATAATTATTTCTAGTCCATTTGGACTTAATGCAGCATTAAAGGTATGTAATATATCAGATTCTATAACATCTTCTAAAAAAAGGACTCCTCCATATAAAAGGATTGAAACCACAGACTTCTAGATAAATATACTGATGGTACTGACATCCACCCAAACTTTATCTTACCTGAGAAAATCCTCCCAAAATAATTCTGTTTGAAGGAATGCCATTCTTCACCTCTTGCTCTATCAAAGCTTTTACTAAAAAACAGGAACGTTAAATCACCAATACTTTCAAAGTTAAAGCCATTGATACAATTTAAATAGAAAAGCATTAATGACAGAGAAGCATAAAGTATATTAAAAAGGTCAAAACAAGAGAAAAACTTGAAGCACTCTATTAAAATACAAAATTAGAATGTATTTTCATTATAAAACTCAGATTTTGCAGGTGCTACTTAAACTGTTCAATTGTTTCTTGTTATATAATTTATAAACAATAGTCCTTTCATCAATGTATGGATATTATTTTATCTATGGTCAATTCTGCTCATATACATTTTATATTTCTCTCTCTTCAATGAACCATAGGCATTTGTCACTAAAAGTTGTGATTTTTAAATTGTATGTGGTTAAAGCAGATTACATGGTTTGCAATTTACCATTATTTCAACAGTTCATTGTATTTTTTTTTTAAACACAGTATTAAATTTTCCTATAGCCAGTATTATGGGAACAAATCAAATGAGTTCTTTTTCTGCAAAACACTTTGGCACACATCATTAAACATTAATATTTGATAACTCCTAAACTTTCCTCTTTTTTTATAGCCTCTGAGTTTTTGGAATAACTGCACTTTTTACAAATTTATCTTCTTTCATTTTTAACATATACGCAAGAGTTTCATTTTTTAAGATTAAAATTTCCAACTTTTTATTTCCTTTTTATCAAAAACCAAAAATCTGCTTTTATTATTAGAACACTGAAAAAAAAAAACCCAAATGCCCAAATTAAAAATTGTTTTGTTTTTATATAAAGTTTAGTTCTAAGTTAGCATTAATATGAAAAGGTAGGGGTACCCTGATTAGGGCATAGGAGAAAGGGTTTAGAACAGTAGAGAGGGCTTAATAAATAAAAGAACTGTTGAGAAATATAAGGGATTTATTTAGGGGAAGACTGCACAACCTCAGTCGGAAAGGAGATGTAGAACTGGCAGAAACAGCCCAGCTCTGTGGAGGGAAGGCTGTGGTGGGGGCATTATGAATGTTAGCTGCTAGCCAGCCCGGGAGCTGTTAGGACTATTTTCCCTCAGTTTCACAAACCTTTACTCCCCATGGTTACATCAACAGCTGAGATAAAGTTAACAAACTACAATGACAGCAGTCAGTTGTGGAGTAGTAGGATCTAATTTCAGTAACCTTCTGCATAAGGGCAAGGGCACTACCATGCTCCCTGGACCTAACCTGAGCACTCACTTCTTTATTCAGTAACAGTTTCTCAGCCCTCAAACAGAGACTTCTTTCTTTCACAGCTGAGTCTGAACCTAATTCTCTCTGATAATACATCACCTCGGAGAGGAAAGAAATGGCAAGTATGTCATAGGCCAACTCTATCATTGGGACAGAACTTTTTATTCTGGAACTCACCAGGCCTACCTACACAAAGCCCAGTTCGTATCTTCCACAGTGTCTAACAACTCATTCCCATACCCAATATGTATTTTTGTCACCTTTTTTTTTTTTTTTTTGACAAAATCCTAGCTCTAGGATTCTGGCTTTGATCTACTTTTTGATGATCTTAACAGTCAGTGTTTTTGGTTTGACATTCCTAAATATCCAATGTGGTTTTTTTTAAAGATTTTTTTTAATTGGGGAATTGGAGGGATGGGAACAGTGCTGGGGAATTGGGGGAAGGGGAACAGACAAGTTGCTGTCGTTTTGTTCTTCAATCTAGTTGTGGAGGACGTTGCTTCACTGGCCCAAGTTGGCACCATCATTGCGCTCTTCCCTGGCGAGGCAGATCAGTCGCCGGCTTCTAGACGGCCGCTCACTGCGGCTGCTGGCCATTCACGCTGGCTGCTTGCTACATACGGTAGCCCATGGCAACCCACTGCAGCAGGGGCTGCAGCCTACGCCGTCGCTGGCGACTCATGGCAGCCCAGCTCCAGGTTGAGCTGTTGGTCATCATCTTAGCTGTGGAGGGCAGTGTCACTGGCCCTCATATGTGGGATCCGAACCGGGGCCCTCTGGTGTCCCAAGCCAGTTCTTAACCATCGCGCCACTCGGCCGGCCCCTCCAATGTGTTTTGAATGCATCTCCTTCCCTGTTTTAAAAAGTTATTAAAAGTCCTAAAAAAAGATTTTAAAAAATATTTCTTAAAAGGATCCTACTGGTTTGGGGGTTTTAAGCTAAAATAATGTGCAATGACTCCCTGGGTACACATTACCTCACTTCTGCAATTATCAATTCAGAGCCCGGCTAGTTTCATCAGTGACTGCTGTATCACCACCTAGAGCATTCTGCAGTCAATCCCAGTCATCACATTGTCTATTTGTAAATATTTCACTACATATATGTAAAAGGATGCTTCTTTACATTTTCTTAACCCAGATTTCTCCCAATAAGTCCGTGTTCTGTATGCTTTCACCTAAAAAGTAAATGGAATTATCCTGTTCATAAGGGAACATGGAATACTAACCAGAGACTAGACTTTGGAAATATTGTAAAGTAGAGCTAATACTCAAGTCACAGGAGTGTTCAATGAGATGATTTATAAGAATTACCTAGTTTAATAGCTAAGTGTTCAGTCAGTGGCATCTATTATTAATACCATGCTAAAATTAATAATATAATTTTCATTATATATTACAAAACTTTTCTGTATTTACCATTTTCTGCTGCCTGTTTAATTCCATGTTCATCTTCCTGTGAATCTGGTGAAAGCCCAATAATATCAAACCTGGAAAATAAGGCAAAACCTTAAAAAAATTCATTTGATTCTAAGAATATCTACTCTTGGTAAGTATGTTTTACTAAATTCGTAGTAGTTGGGACAACAAATGCTGACCAAATGTATTCTCTACAACATGAAACTCAAAATGTCTACAGAGTCCAAATAATTAACTTAAACATGTGAATCTGACATTCTATAAATGCCTTTCTTCCCAACTAGACAGATTCTAATGTTAAAAAGTCACAATGACACATAATTTTAGGGTAAGAATATTTAAGAAATTATCTAGTCCAATCTTGCACCCAAGCAGGAATCTCAACCCACACTCCTAAGTTTGTAATAAATTCCAGCCACTCATTTCCCTTTCTAATGCATAAGTGAATACAATGGAATAGAGCTACTAATCTCTATTCATGTTCTAAAAAACTTTTTCATCAGGTATTACAGATGTCTCAAACCAGAGACGAAGGGAAGCCTTCCTTTGGCCCTTTCTACTTTTTTAAAATTTTTTTAAAAAATTAAAGTTTATTGGGGTGACAATTGTTAGCAAAGTTACATAGGTTTCAGGTGTACAATTCTGTAACACATCATCTATATATCACATTGTGCATTCACCACCCAGAGTCAGTTCTCCTTCCATCACCATATATTTGATCCCCTTTTATCTTTATCTACCACTTCTCTCCCCCTCTGACCCTCTGGTAACCACTAAACTATTGTCTGTGTCTATGAGTTTTTGTTTCTTCATTTATTTTTCTTGTCCCTTTGTTATTTTCAGGTTTATATACCATGCATCAGTGAAATCATATGGTTCTCGACTTTTTCTGTCTGACTCATTTCATTTAACATGATAATCTCTAGATTACATCACAGATTACGCCTTTCTACTTCTTAATCAGGTTATACGCTATCATTATGGTCTCTAGCAACATTAGGTAGAAATTCTGGATGGCAATTTTGCTAGAGAGGAAAAAGATTAAACAACTAAAGGCCAAGATAGGCAGAAACATGTAACAGTTGCCAAGGACTCTAAAGTAGGTAAAAAAAAAAAAAGTGCAGGGGTGGTTTAGTGATGGGTGGGAAGAAGTAGAGAAGACAGACAAGACAGTAGACTGGAAGTCCTAAAGAGGTCTAAGAAACAAATAGTGTGGAAACGGAAGCAAACTCAAAGGATGAACAATTATGCTTGATATCAGCTTTGAATTAAGTGTCTTCAAAGATGGGACAGTTGCAGATGACAATGCCCAATGACTGTTAACTAAAGGTGAGAGAAGAAAATGTCACTGGGGAAGAGAAGGGCCAAGGAAGTAACAAGCCAGTCAAGGTTGTGAATGGGCCATTTACATAGGATCCTGTAGTCACCCAAAAGATAAAATGGTGGCAGAAAACAGAGTGAAAAGGAAAAAAATCAGATATCAAAGTTATCATTTTTGAAAAGATCTGATTGCAGGCTTCTCAGAAAGCAGCAGGAAAAAACTCACAGTTGGGAAGTGGCTCAGAGGAACAAAGACCTGACTCTGCTTCCTGACTATAAGCATAGAGGGAATGTGAAAATATCTTGAAAGGGCTCAAGATGAAATGGTTTTCTTAAAAATTCACCAGCTCTCCAGAAAGGAAAAAGTTGGAAGGGTAAAGATGCCATGGCTTAACCAGAGTGATTCACACATAGGATCATTCAAATGTTTGGTTACCGAAATCAACAAAGGTTTATCAAGCAGTAGGAGGTATTTTCTGCAGTATTTCTATTCACCTACTCTCCTGTTTCTCTACCTGTTTACTCCGTAAATTCACCCCTGAATCTAAAATATAAAAACTTAAATAAAGGTTAAATTTAAAGTGACTAATTTAACTTTGCAACTTAAAATAGCTAATTAAAAACTGCTATATGAAAAAGCACTTCTGCTTTTAAAAGCTAAGTATAAATACAAAGTTCTTATTGAATAAGTAAATTCTTACTTACCAAGAAGGCATAGCCATATTCATATTTAATGTTACTGGCATAACTGGTCTACGTGGGAAAGAAAAAAACAGCAAAATAAGAATATAACAAAGCATAAAACCTTATAAATTTCATCAAAGATAGGTAATTACTTAAGGCTTACACAAAACTGTATTCTACAATTTTAACATGAGTTGTTTCACTGCGTCCACACCTGTACAATTCTGTCCCCCGTACCCTCCAAATGTGTTCTGAAGACAGAGCAGCAGCTGGGAAGAGCTAAGTTTGGCAAATAAAAAAACATTTTCCTTTCTCTTCACCCTTACTTAATACTTTCAAACCAGACATGACAAGGAAAACCAGTAATCAAGACAGTGGAAATGTATAAAATATGAGAATCTTGGCTAAAGGGCTAAGGATATGAGCAATTTATTGCACAGGTACTGTAACATCAATTCTTCCCACAAACTCAGATTACATTTTTGTTTATTTTCTAGTTCTTAGCTATATACATGCTTATTTAAGAGACCTCTTATAAGTTTTGCCTAAGTATCCATTACACCCAATTCAAGTCTGTGATGAAAAATTTGCTGGACCACCTGAATGTAGCTAGGTAGGTACAAAAGGAAGGAAAAGTAAATACACTGTAACCACATCTCCCCACTATTCTCCTAACTCAATGAAACAAGTCTACCTTAGAGGTTACAAAATCTCCTCGAGAACATAAATTCCCTGAGGTTGGGAAATAGCCTTAGACCAAATTCAATTCTGGGGCCAGTAAAAATTGAGCAGAAATCCCAGAATGATAAGGCCTCTGTTTTCCTCTTTGCATTCCCTCTTTCACATTTATCACTCTACTGCTACCACCACTTCCAAGGATGCATTACTAACCTACTAGTCCCCACCTACCATTTGCCTTCTCCGTGGCTACTGCTTCTCAGCAACCTTTTGACTTAAAACTTGCCTGACTTATTGATTTTCTGAGTTTGCTCAAAACCTACTAGTTTGTTTTTTTTGACATCCACAAACTCTTTCAGAATTCTAAACCAAATCTATCACACTCCAAAGTCTGTGTTCTTTCCACAGTACAAAATATTGCCTCTAACTGATAAAATGTAGGAATGTTTTCAACATAGTAAAGATTTCTCCCAAACCTGACAGGTAAATCCCCTTCACAGACATCTCATGGATATCCTCAGAACTTAACAGATGTTTGTATTGCCAAAAGAATTGTTCTGGTTGTGAGTTCACTAATCTCTAAGAGAACACTATTTTAAATTTCTCAACAAAGAAAAAAAAATCAATGTAACCAAGGTACTATTATAGTTTTAAAGAATTTACTAATCTTTATTTTTAAACAGAATATAAGAATAAAAGATAAAAATTAATTTTATTCTAATGCTTTTCTGGAAAACTAAATCTATCACAATTGTTCCTCTCCCAATTCTGAATCACAAGCCTAAAGATTAAAAATACTTACGCATGCGGGCAGATATATTTGATATGTGAACTTCTGATACCTGCAAAGGCTTCTGCCCATCCATGCCTGGTAGAGAAATCATTTGAACAATGCCATTAGGTACTGTTTCAATTCCCAGTAAATTAGTAACAGAATAGTACTTTAAGAAGTTTGTGAGGATAAAGTTAACTCCTTAAAATATCTTAAAAGTGTGGGCCATCAAAGCTATTAACTAAAACACCAGCATCAACCTACAAAGAAACCAAAGACTATTATTTAAGTTTTACCTATGTATAAAGATGATTTCTCATGATTTCTAAAAAGAAGTGTTTTCTTTCATATATTTCCACAGGGTATTATAATTCATATAATATAGATTTTTTTTATCTCTTTATAACCTCACGACAATGCACCTAACAAAGTAGGGAAGACAGATAATATAATGCATATTTTATACAAAGAAAAAAGCCTCAGAGGAGTATAGTAAATCAGTTGTCTGATATCTCTACATACTTACTACACTATTAAAAAATTACTTAAACTAGCATTCTTTCCTTTGTTATGTATATATTTAAAATAGAATATGAAAAAAACTAAAAATGTAAATCATCATAATCCTTCTAGCCAGAAATAAGCAGTTAATCTTTTGATGTATTTCCTTCCATTTTTTTCCATGCATATCACTTTAAGAAAAACCGATTTTTACTGAGATCATACTACACATACATACAGTTTCCTGCTTTACACTTGACATTATACCTGATACTTTCTACAAGTTATCTCTATTAAAAGATTAAGTAAAAGTAGACTATTTATGTAAAATAGTCTGAAAATAAATGTTAAATGCTTTTCTGGTAGCTATTTTTCTATTTTAATCTACCCTCCCCCAAAGTGTTAAGGACATACAGAAAAGTTAATAACAGTATTAATATTAACATTTATATAACACTGTGAACCAGGCTAAAATATTCTAGGACTTATATATGTGTGCACACATGTGTATTTGTGTTTATATGCGTTCATGTGTGTGTCTTGTATGTATGTATGTATGTATGTATATATTGGGTGTCGGAAAAGTCATGACGTATTTTGTCTATGTTTTTCAAAGGTCATTTATTTATATAAAGAACAAAGATCAATCAATGCTATATTGCCGTTTTGTTCGATAACCTTTTGCCATTTTTCAGTGAGCTTCATAATTCCTTGTTCATAGAAGGACCTGTCTTTATTTGCGAAAAACTGAACAAGGTGCTGATTTACAGCCTCATCTGAATTGAACATTATACCACGCAAGGAGTTTTGAAGAGAGCGAAACAAGTGGAAGTCTGACGGCACAAGTTCAGGTGAGTATGGTGGGTGTGGCAACACATCCCATCCAAGCTCCAATAATTTTTGAAGGGTGATCAAACTTGTGTGTGGTCTCGCATTGTTGCAATGGAACACAATTCCTTTACAATTAACGAGCTCTGGATGTTTCTGGATAATGGATTCGTTCGAATTGTCCAATTGCCGACAGTACACATTCAAATTGATTGTTTGGTTCCTTGGTAGCTCGAAAAACACAACACCTTTAGAATCCAATCACACTGAAAGCATAACCTTCCTCTGATGAATGTCTGTTTTCTATGTCGTTTGCGGCAAATCATCATGTCAGGACCAAGACCGTTTGCGCACCACATTGTTGTAAACAATCCACTTCTCATCACCAGTTATCAGTTGCTTCAAAAAAGGATCATTTTCCTCACATTTAATGAGCATATTGCAGATGTTTATACGCGCCTTCAAATGAACTTGAGTTCATGTGGAGCCCAAATACCAAGCTTCTTTACGTATCCCAGCTTCTTCAGGTGGTCGCGAACACTTGAATGATGGATGTTCAATGTTTCTGCAATTTCTCATGTAATGTAACGTGGGTATGACTCAATCAATGCCTTTATTTTGTCATCATCAACCTCGGTGGGCCTCCTGGCCGAGGAGCGTCGTTGAGATCAAAATCATCAGCTCGGAATTTCGTGAACCATCATTGGCACTGATGTTCTTGTAGAGCACTGTCACCATAAACTTTATGCAACTTTTCACAAACTTGACACGCGTTCTTCTCTTTATGGAAGTAAAACAGTAAAATATGGCAAAAATGCAGAGTTTGGTCTCCCATCTTCAACTTGTAAAATCTCCAAAACTCAACCAAATGGCTCAATTTTTTTTTTAGAATGAAGCTAGAACTATCAGCTGTCAAATGACATAGTAGTAACATAGATGTGAATGACTCTAGTACTTCCAAAGATGAACTAGTGCCATCTGTTGCAAACATGCATCGTGACTTTTCCAACAACCCAAAATAAGATTTTACTGTGAAAACTACAAAACACGTTCAAAGCAATTAAAGGTCTATATAAATGGACATGCCATGTTCACGGACTGGAAGATAATATTAAGATAGCAGTAGTCCCCAAATTGATCTATGGAGTTGATGCAATTTCTGTGGATAGAGGTGTGATCACAAACTATAGTGAATGTTTAAATTAAATAAAATTTATTACAGTAAGACACATTGCCATTAATCCCATCAAAATACTCCCTCTCTCTTCAAACACATTATCCCATCGTTCTTGCCACTTTCTGAATCAGTTCTGGAAGTCCTCTTTTGTGAGTGTCTTTAGTTGTGCACGTCTTTAGTTGTGCTGTCATGGCTGCCTCAATGTCCTGAATCAATTAAGAACATTTACCTTTTATCATCATTTTGACTTTGTGGAAGAGCCAGAAGTTGCATGGTGCCAGATTCAGTGAATAAGGTCGATGAGGACACACCATCATGTCTTTATTTGACAGAAATTGCCATACCAGAAGTGAGGTGCAACACAGAACCTTTCGGTTATGATCACAAAATATGATGAATGCTGCTGCCGAGTGCCATCCAGAGGAAAGGCAGGGATCTTCAATACGGGAAGTGGTGTGTCGAACTTTAGTAACAGTGTGTGACAAGTTTCAACATGTTCGGTGCCGTCAGTCAAGTGTGAGCTATGGTTGAGAGGTGTGTTTCCGTAAATCAGCCTCCATCATGACAGAGCTCCGTGTCACACTCTGCTTCCGGTATACGGCAATTATGTCAAAAAAACATTATGGTGTGTCCTCATCCACCTTATTCACTGAATCTGGCACCGTGCGACTTCTGGCTCTTCTCCAAAGTCAAAATGATTCAGGACATCGAGGCAGCCACAACAGTGCAACTAAAGACACTCACAAGACAGGACTTTCAGAACTGCTTCAGAAAGTGGCAAGAACAATGGGATAAGTATGTTCGAAGCAAGGGGGCGTATTTTGAGGGGAATTAATGGTAATGTGTCTTTTACTGCAATACATTTTTTTATTTAAATATTCACCGCATTGTTTGATCACACCTCATAGCCTTCCATAAATTCCATTTTTTGCTTAAACTGGTTGAATGGCTTCCTATTCCTTGTAACTAAATGATCTCTAAATCACACTCTATTATTCTTTTCGTTCTTGGTTATATTAACAGAAAGACTTGCAAATGATAGGTCACAAAATATTAATATATCCATGATGCCAATTCAATATTATTTTCAATCCATTGTTTGACCTCTCAGTAAGGCCTTATCCACTTAACTACTGTCTTTCAAACTTTTTTTTCTAAGCTTTTACAGTCTCCTCATCCTAGAAAAATCTCATAGACTGGTAATACAGAACACGAACTCCTAGAATATATGGAGGGGAAGGGTTTAAATAAAAAAGGCCAACTTTTCCATCTGGCCTTTTTTCTCTCCCATTTTTCCTTATTTGGAACAGAGCTTTCAGGTGTCACAGTCAGCTGTGGGGGATTGGAGAATGTGTGTTCCCATGAATGAATCAGGGCTGTAGGTTGAGGCACCTGGAGAAGGGCACGTCCCAAGCTGCACTATTGGTCTGAACTGCCAGAATAGAAGCTAAGTTTCTCATGAAATTACAAATATGGAAAGCGGAAGGATAGAATAAACACTGTAGTTTTGGGTTGGAATTGGTTGAATCAGTGTAAACTGAAAATTTCTTAAATATCAAAACTAATACAGATGTGTGTACTCATATACATATGTATGTATGTAGATAGATATACTTGTAGCTCTATGCACTGGAACGGGTCAAGAAGTAACAACTCCAGCAATGAGCACACATAGCACTCAGATCTTGGTTCCTAAATAAAATTTCCAGTAAAAAGAACCAGGGCGCTTGAAAAAATGGCTGAGTCCAGGGCTGAAGCAGGAAGAATATAAGATGATCCTGGAAAAGATCCTGTTGCAACAGAAAGCAAGGAAGTGCTTAAGGAATGATGAGGCATGTTCCAAAGACATAGCCGCCAGCTTGAAGGTGCTCCCACTGGCCAAATATAAAACAATTTAAGTAATCAAAATAAATAACGATAGATTTAACAACAGAGTAAAACAGGAATCCAAAGGTCTTTACTGATTTAAAATTTCATACATAATAAGGGAGAAAGCTCTACCCCACAACAGACGTCAAATAAATTTAGAATGAAGAAAAATTTTAAAAATCATTATTTGGCAACTATCTCAATAACAGATTCAGACAGACTCATGAATGGATGCTAAATCCACTGGTGAGAAACACCTATTTTCATAAATATCAACGTATCTGCAACAAAATATTTTTTAAGTACCATATACTTATTAACTTCACTGTGAAGAAACCTGGTAGACACTATCTCAACCAGCTGATAAAATCTAACATCACAAGTAAAGGTACAAAAATCACCACAATGTGTGTCTGATATGATGCAATGAGACAAGTACAGCAACACTTCCTATGGTGTTCCTGCCAAAAAGGCTTAAGTCAGAGGAGAAAATGCATAAACCCAAAATGAGGGATAGTCTACAAAGTGATTGGCCGGTATTCTGGAAAAGTGTCAAGGTCATGAAAGACAAGGCAAGACTGTTCCAGACTGAAGGAGACACGATAATTGGATGGGGGTCCTGGACTCATAGAGGACATTATTGGGTCAAACCAAGGAAATGTGAATGGGGTTGGTGAATTTGATGGTAGTGTTAGATCAATGTTAACTTTTTGATTGATGGTCATACTGTGGTTATGTGGGAGTGTCCTTGTACTTACAAAATATACTGAAGTATTATGGAGTAATGAGGCAGTATCTGCAACTTATTCTCAAATGTTTCCAAAATGTTAATAATTGGGTAATCTGAGTGAAGGGTATAAGGAATTCTAAATATTATTTCTGTAACTTTCATATAAATTTGAAGTTATTTTAAAATAAAAAAGTTTAAAAATGTAAAACATAATAACAATGATGAAATATAATCCATTACATAAATCTATGAATCCACCCTAAATAAATGGGGAGCGGCAAGCTAACAAACATACAACGAGTGACAGAATTAGTACCAATTGATTTAAGCCAAGAATCATCAATGGATGCTATAAAAATATCAGGTGAAAGTCTGGTGTACAGTTTGCATAGTCTCAAAGTATCTCCCTACAATTTGCTTTTTAAATACAAAGGGGAAATAACTGCAGTAGAGAAACCTGGAAGATATCAGCTTAATCAAACAATCCAAGTTAACATCAATAATGGGAGAAACAACATCACTTGTCTCTTGATCTGATGCAAAAAATCGGACATATCACCTATATGGAAGTGATACCAAAAATGCACAAACTAAATCTAATCACGAGGAAATGTCAAACAAACCCAAATCGAGGGACTAGCCTGATCTCTGCAAAATGTCAGTGTCATGAAAGACAAAGAGCTGTGGAATAGTTCCAGATTAAGAGACTAAAGAGTTAAATGCAACATGATGAATTGGATTTCAGTGAGGAGAGGGGATTACTATACAGGACATTACTGGGAAAACTGACAAAGTGTGAATATGTAGTATATTAGATACTAACATTAAATAAGTGCTAAATTTCCTGAGTTTGATTAACTATTTTGGGGCTATATAAGAGGCTCTCCTTGCTCTTAGGAAACATGCTAAAGTGTTTAGAATTAAAGAATCACATCTGCAATTTATTCTCAAAGGGTTCTGCAAACATAGCAACATTTCACAGAGATTAGTAAATCTACGTAGAAGGTACTGAAATATTTGTATTATTCTTGCAACTATTCTACAAACTTGAAAACATTTCAAAATAAAACATTTTTTTAAATGATATCAACAATAAATATGTATCTCTGGTTTGTACGCTTTCAACTGATTTACATTTCTCTTCTCAAGTATATTTGCATTTTGAATTTTTTTACAATACAAATGTTAACATTTTCATAATCATAAAAAAAGCTATTTTTATTTTGCAAGGAAAACTGTGATCACATGCAATACAGTGTGGTCTAAAATGTATTTCTTTGAATACTAGCTTCACAGTTTATAGGAACACTTGGTTGTCAGATGTGTTTCTTTACTGCATAACTTCTCAGAGCTTTAAAGATGCTAGTGCACTGGTTGTATATCTTCAGGAGGAGAATATGCTTTATCCTATTTCCTAGACACTAAGAGATTATCAAGAGGCACCACTGAAAAAAAGTTTTTATCAAAAAAAGATCACCATCACAATAAACACATGCAGTAAGATGAGTACCAATCTCAAAAACAGAAACATAAAAAAAATGTGGGGAAAACGACATTAGAATTGAAAAAATGTGGAGTTATAAAGGGTCTCCCAATCTTATTTGGCCACCAAATACTTTTTTCATGAGGAATCTAAAAGACAGACTGCAAGACCTAAGTTTCTAGACAGCACACCTTGGCTGGTTCTGTAAAAACGAATCTTAACAAAAAAGGGCAAAAGCTGCCCATTTTTATAACAACTTGTATAGACGTAGATGTAAGCAATACCATCTGTATCTCTGTCCCAGATTTTTTTCATGCTGTGAATTTTGACCAACTTCACTGTCCTTAGGAAGCATATCAAACCTTTTTAGTTCATGATTATCTGTGTTCCTTAAAAGGCAGCCATAAATATTTTTGTTAGTAACAGCCATAATGGCATGACAACCGAGATAAATATCAAAATGGTGATAGTATTGACTATGAATAACCTTCTATCACAAGACCACCAGGAGATGAGGTATGGCGCCTGGGGTTACTGTATTCTTTGTCCCTTTGTCCTGTCAGTCATCAGCTATAAAAAAAGTACTGTAACAGGGTCTGTTAGCAGAGAATAATCTGTGCTGCTGAGTTGTCTTTTCTGTTCAGACTCAGACTTAATCTTCCCCAAAGTCTATTACCCTATAATAAATTCTGTTATAATCTATGGAGTTGCCTACTCCATTTGTCAGTCTTAAAATACCTTCATGATGGTGGCAATTACACCTTTGTCCCACTGTCGGACAAAACTGCTTAATTCCCACATCCTCCAAGTTAAGCTGACAAATGTACTTTTTTAGTTCTCCAAAATTATCTTAAACATTAAATTGCCACTTGTTATATGGTTCATTCTGAATTTCACCATGTATTTGTGGAACCAAACTAGAGTCAGTTTTTCTTCAGTGTTATCTCACAAAGTACTTTCAGAATTGGAGACCTTTACTTTTAAAACAAACTTAATTCTCAGTCAAGATGTCATGGATGCCTGGGTTATTTTTAATCTGACAGTGTTCATTTTCATCATCATTTTCACTCTTAACTTCAGTCTATGCAATCTGGCTAAATTGGGGTCCACAGAGAACCTTCCTACACTTTTTATTCTCTTGGGACTCATTCTTCAGGCCTATAAACTCTCTTTAATGGGAAAGTTACAGGGTAGGAAGTTCCTGTTTCTCAGCATCAGAAACGGTTTGATTATAAAACAGAGCCTCTCTACACCCGTTTAGTAAAATAAATAGTAAAATAAACCTGTCATTTTCACAGTACTACCTGATTGCCAGAAAAAATTCCTACAACGTTTTCTGTAACTCCATACAAAGTATGTCATGGATCTCTATTTATTAGGCATAAAAGAATATTAGGAATCACCTTTAAAAATTAATCTAAAAGAAAACAGAAAAGAAAAAATTATTCTAATCCAATACCTCCTTGTAAATTAGATTTAATAGTTTTTTGGCTACTTTATCAAAATTAATCTTTAGTTTTCCTCCAATTCTGTAATTTTGTAACAACTGTTTTGTAACAACAATTTTATCTACGTTTCAAACAGATAATCACTGATTTAAATTAGAAACAAAAACCTCTCAATATAGAAAAAGCCTGAGTGAAAGATAAATCATATATCTAAAGTTAGCCCAACAAAATTTGTTTGATAAGCCTCCAAATAAATCTTTTGAACTGCCTCCCTGCCCCTTCAACTGATTTTTTTCTTTTAAGGGAACATCTAAGCTCTCACTTAGAATTGCTATTGTTTCTCTTATCAAAATCAACCAGTTCTTCTAAACTTGCCCTGAAATTTTAACTCTTCTGGAAAGCTCTCAATTGCACAGCCTCTCCAAACATTCCACCCATCTCTGCTATCCAATACCCCCAGCAACTCAAGAAGTTTGCAATTTTAATATGTTCCAGAAACAGGAGTTGAAAATGACAAATTCAAGATGAGGGGGCAAATTCTAGGGGTTTTCAAAAAAGAAAAGATTGTATCTTATTACTGGGCTGTAAGAATACTACTAGCAGTCTTATTTAATACAGTCCTAGAGTTCTTAAATATTAAACCTTTGATTGCATAAGTAGAGTTGCATGACCTCATTTCACTACTGTTACTAATATGGTACCTACCCTGTATCTCCCAATCCATGAAGAAAAATCACCTGGAAGAGAAGAGGAAAAATTAATAAGCAATGCCTAAATAAACCCACAGAGAATTGTTACACACTGTAGCTTTGGTGAAGGTGGATGCCAGAATTACAGAACATTGCCTTCAAGCAAGTTAACTATTCTCTACGGACTTCTCGTAAATGGCAATAATACTTCTCTCCTGGTAGGTCCTACGCTAATTGAAGTGGAGTATCAACACTTAAAAAGGTCCCACTTCGCCATTCTTAAGTGGTAATGATCACATTCTAAGAAAAAAGTTGTCTTTCAAATCAAACCATGAAAGTCTCATAGATACATATTGCAAAATATTCCATCACAAAAAGGAACTTCCGGGGGTAAAAAGAAGTTTAAGATCCTTATACACAGTTTCCTTTTAAAAAATCACTTCTAACTTTATGAGACACTAAATCTCCAAACGTCTTTAATTTAGGACAAGAGTGCAAGATAAGAAAATAAAGTCATTTTCTTGCGGACTTAAGACGTCCCGCATCTACAAACAAGACAGAAACATGCTATAAAGCCACCTCGAGTTAGAGGGCAGCTCGGGGTCCGGGGGCCCGCGGGCCGACCTCGATCCGCAATGCAGAAGACTTGGGCTCGGCTGGGGTGGGATTGGTCCTCAGGCACCGGCAGCAACCCCTGCACTCTCCCCATACAGCGCGGGCCACCCCAACCGCAACCCAAGCCAAGCCAAGCAGGGCGGAGAGTGCCCAACCGCCGGTCGCCAACACGCCTGCGATGCCCACCCCACGCGAGGGGCAGCGGTCAGCGGCGGGCCGAGCACACCCCTCCGACCCCTCCTCGCCTCGGCCTCTGCAACTCACCGCAGCGGTGGCCTTCCGGGCGGCGGGCACGATGGCAGGAAGCGGGGCAGACATGTTATTGCCGCACATACACCGGCTCGACCGACAGAACGCGTAGGAGGCGAAAGGAAGCACAGGCGCCGGGCCGCGGCCCAAAGACTGGCGAGCGGCCGCGATTCCCGGCCCGCCCCCTGGGCGCGCGCCCCGGCGCGTGCGCGCCCGCGTCTCCGGGGCCGGCAGTCGCGCCCCTCCTGCGCCGCTCTCCTCTCTCGGCACGTCACAATGTCTGCCTTCGCTGTCCGCCGGATTGGCTGGGACGGACCCGCTGCCGGAGCTGACCTTCTCTTCCCCATGGCCGCTGCGTGGTCGGTGCGGGTAGCCGGGCGGCGCTTCTTCCCGCCGGGCGTCCAGGCCAGCCTGGGGAAGGCGCTCGCAAGCCCAGGTCGGTAGCGGGGTCGCTGAAACCTGGTTTTGTCTTCCAGTGTTGGGACACTGTAGTGAAAAGAATGAGCCCCAAATCCAGTCATACCCACCCGCAGATACTCCTTTGATTTCCAAAACCAGGGTGTACTCATTTGTTAAAGTCTGGAAGGACTGGACTGGGAGAGGCCAGTATAACTTTTGCTGTTTCCATTTGGAGTTACACCAATGTGTAGTTTTTGGATCGGACTGATCTCTTCTTTTAAACTTCAGCCGGTAAGGAAAACATTGTCACCGAGAATCCACAACTTATTGATTGGTGGATATTGACATAGTGCTGATTAAGCATGAAACTAGATGTCCGTTTTCTGCCCGGGGGGGCTCAGTGTTTATCAAATACAGGGGAGGATTTGGGGGGGGGGGCGGAGCAGAACAAGAGATGGAAACACCTGGAGCCAAATCGCTCTGACCTTCAGAAGTTTACAATTCACTCGAGAAACTTAAAGGAGATATATATACACATACACACAATCGTTATATAGAGTACAGTATGAGACAGGGAAGGAAGCCGGTGAACATGACTAAAAAACTACTCCACTTTAATTCACATGATAACCATAATGCCAAAGCATTGGGGGGGGGGTCTTATTTCATACTGTAGTTTTGTTTTTTATCATTTTTGCCTTGAATTTAAGTGCTAAGAATTTTGTGGATGCTCAAAAATGTTAAATTGCTGCTGCTTTATTGAAAACGATAATGTGACTCACATTTCAAGTACAAGTGTATACCTCAGGCTAAGTATTTGGTGGTGTTGATCCTGAGAATGAACGTAGCCGTTGAGAAGGGCTCCTGGTGGCTAACTGGGCTCAAATTTATAGAGTCTAGCAGCCATTGCTAAACAGGGGCCTCTCACCCAAGCCAGGCTTCAGGAAGAAGCCAGTGCTAAACTGCTTGCCTCCCAGGCTGAACTGCCTCCATGCACTGTGTTCCTACTGGATGAGCGAACCCTTAACAAAGGAGTTCCTGGAATTGTATTTCAACCACTAGACTTGACCCATCCAATCGTAGCTGGGCAGCAATATCCTCAATTGCATTTCACTGACTAGTCAGCAGCTCCATTCTGACCAATGTGGACAAGTGCTTTTTGGACCAAATAGTGAGGATGTGGAGTCCTTATCTGCATAAAAATGGACCAATCAGGGGGCCTCGAGAAGGACCTTTTCCCTATGGAAGCCAGCTTGACCTCTGTCTTGGTGAGGTGCATTTTCAGCTTCTGCCAAAGACTTCTTATGGCTAGAGCTGCAATATCAGCTAAGCTGCAACACCAGGGTGGAGCTGTCTCACCAGAACTTTAACACCAGAGCTATAGCACCGGGGCTGCCTCACAGCCATGCTGTATCATAGCTGTATCACTATCGAGCTCACAGCCATGCTGTTCCACACCAACCTAGATCATAATTGAGCTGTTCTGAAGCCAAGCTGTTCCACAGCTGTGCTGTTTCACAATTGAGCTCTTTACACTAAATAAAGTTTTCTCTCTAATCAGCACCTCAAATTGGGGACCCCTATGGGTGTTGAATTGGGGATGACACCCTTCAGTTGACAGTTATGATGTTAATAGAGAAAATAATACTATCTTTAGCTCTTACTATGAATACAACATGTTACAAATTA